AAAGATGAATAACAAAATTTTGACCCAAATCGACCAAAAAGCAAGGGGTTACATCATGTTTTTTGTCAAAATCGGGGTCGGCTCGAAAATCAGAACTTTTTCGATGATTTTTTTTCAATATCTCGGGTAAATATCTTCCAATTTTGGAATGTTATACCTTTTTGAATTTGTACAGATCCCTAAAGGTGCAAATCAAAATTTTGACCCAAATCGTCAAAACGCTTTGAAACGACATATCTCCAACGTTATATGTCGGTTGGAGATATGTCGCTTTGAAACGACATAATATCGCCAAGATCAGCCTCGGTTGGAGATATGTCGCTTTGAAACGACATATCTCCAACGTTATATGTCGACATAATATCGCCAAGATCAGCCTCGTTTGTAAAGTACACCTTTTTTGCTGATTTTTTGTAATATCTCGGCCAAAAATTGTCCGATTTTGGAATTTTATACCATTTTGGACTCGTAAGGATCAGTACTATCGATTGGCATCAAAAAGATGAATATCAAAATTTTGACCCAAATCGACCAAAAAGCAAGGGGTTACATCACGTTTTTTCTCAAAATCTGGGTCGGCTCGAAAATCAGAACTTTTTCGATGATTTTTTTTCAATATCTCGGGTAAATATCTTCCGATTTTGGAATGTTATACCTTTTTGAATTTTTACAGATCCCTACTATCAACTGGCATTCAAAGAAATTAAAAATCGATTGTAAAGTCAACCTTATTTGATGATTTTTTGGAATATCTCAGCCAAATAATGCCCGATTTTGGAATTTTATACCATTTTGGACTCGTAACGATCAGTACTATCGATTGGCATCAAAGGGATGAATATCAAAATTTTGACCCAAATCGACCAAAAAGCAAGGGGTTACATCTCGTCTTTTCTCAAAATCGGAGTCGGCTCGAAAATCAGAACGTTTTCGATGATTTTTTTTCAATATCTCGGGTAAATATCTTCAGATTTTGGAATGTTATACCTTTTTGAATTTGTACAGATCCCTACTATCAATTGGCATTCAAAGAAATTAAAAATCGATGGGTTAAAAAAAGTTGTTGACCAAAAACCGATTCGTTTGTAAAGTCAACCTTATTTGATGATTTTTTGGAATATCTCAGCCAAATAATGCCCGATTTTGGAATTTTATACCATTTTGGACTCGTAAGGATCAGTACTATCGACTGGCATTAAAAAGATGAATATCAAAATTTTGACCCAAATCGACCAAAAAGCAAGGGGTTACATCATGTTTTTTGTCAAAATCGGGGTCGGCTCGAAAATCAGAACTTTTTCGATGATTTTTTTTCAATATCTCGGGTAAATATCTTCCGATTTTGGAATGTTATACCTTTTTGAATTTGTACAGATCCCTAAAGGTGCAAATCAAAATTTTGACCCAAATCGTCAAAACGCTTTGAAACGACATATCTCCAACGTTATATGTCGGTTGGAGATATGTCGCTTTGAAACGACATAATATCGCCAAGATCAGCCTCGGTTGGAGATATGTCGCTTTGAAACGACATATCTCCAACGTTATATGCCGACATAATATCGCCAAGATCAGCCTCGTTTGTAAAGTACACCTTTTTTGCTGATTTTTTGTAATATCTCGGCCAAAAATTGTCCGATTTTGGAATTTTATACCATTTTGGACTCGTAAGGATCAGTACTATCGATTGGCATCAAAAAGATGAATATCAAAATTTTGACCCAAATCGACCAAAAAGCAAGGGGTTACATCACGTTTTTTCTCAAAATCTGGGTCGGCTCGAAAATCAGAACTTTTTCGATGATTTTTTTTCAATATCTCGGGTAAATATCTTCCGATTTTGGAATGTTATACCTTTTTGAATTTTTACAGATCCCTACTATCAACTGGCATTCAAAGAAATTAAAAATCGATTGTAAAGTCAACCTTATTTGATGATTTTTTGGAATATCTCAGCCAAATAATGCCCGATTTTGGAATTTTATACCATTTTGGACTCGTAACGATCAGTACTATCGATTGGCATCAAAAGGATGAATATCAAAATTTTGACCCAAATCGACCAAAAAGCAAGGGGTTACATCTCGTCTTTTCTCAAAATCGGAGTCGGCTCGAAAATCAGAACGTTTTCGATGATTTTTTTTCAATATCTCGGGTAAATATCTTCAGATTTTGGAATGTTATACCATTTTGAATTTGTACAGATCCCTACTATCAATTGGCATTCAAAGAAATTAAAAATCGATGGGTTAAAACAAGTTGTTGACCAAAAACCGATTCGTTTGTAAAGTCAACCTTATTTGATGATTTTTTGGAATATCTCAGCCAAATAATGCCCGATTTTGGAATTTTATACCATTTTGGACTCGTAAGGATCAGTACTATCGACTGGCATTAAAAAGATGAATATCAAAATTTTGACCCAAATCGACCAAAAAGCAAGGGGTTACATCATGTTTTTTGTCAAAATCGGGGTCGGCTCGAAAATCAGAACTTTTTCGATGATTTTTTTTCAATATCTCGGGTAAATATCTTCCGATTTTGGAATGTTATACCTTTTTGAATTTGTACAGATCCCTACTATCAATTGGCATTCAAAGAAATTTAAAATCGATGGGTTAAAAAAAGTTGTTGACCCAAAACCGATTCGTTTGTAAAGTCAACCTTATTTGATGATTTTTTGGAATATCTCAGCCAAATAATGCCCGATTTTGGAATTTTATACCATTTTGGACTCGTAACGATCAGTACTATCGATTGGCATCAAAAGGATGAATATCAAAATTTTGACCCAAATCGACCAAAAAGCAAGGGGTTACATCACGTTTTTTCTCAAAATCTGGGTCGGCTCGAAAATCAGAACTTTTTCGATGATTTTTTTTCAATATCTCGGGTAAATATCTTCCAATTTTGGAATGTTATACCTTTTTGAATTTGTACAGATCCCTAAAGGTGCAAATCAAAATTTTGACCCAAATCGTCAAAACGCTCTGAAACGACATATCTCCAACGTTATATGTCGGTTGGAGATATGTCGCTTTGAAACGACATAATATCGCCAAGATCAGCCTCGGTTGGAGATATGTCGCTTTGAAACGACATATCTCCAACGTTATATGTCGACATAATATCGCCAAGATCAGCCTCGTTTGTAAAGTACACCTTTTTTGCTGATTTTTTGTAATATCTCGGCCAAAAATTGTCCGATTTTGGAATTTTATACCATTTTGGACTCGTAAGGATCAGTACTATCGATTGGCATCAAAAAGATGAATATCAAAATTTTGACCCAAATCGACCAAAAAGCAAGGGGTTACATCACGTTTTTTCTCAAAATCTGGGTCGGCTCGAAAATCAGAACTTTTTCGATGATTTTTTTTCAATATCTCGGGTAAATATCTTCCGATTTTGGAATGTTATACCTTTTTGAATTTTTACAGATCCCTACTATCAACTGGCATTCAAAGAAATTAAAAATCGATTGTAAAGTCAACCTTATTTGATGATTTTTTGGAATATCTCAGCCAAATAATGCCCGATTTTGGAATTTTATACCATTTTGGACTCGAACGATCAGTACTATCGATTGGCATCAAAAGGATGAATATCAAAATTTTGACCCAAATCGACCAAAAAGCAAGGGGTTACATCTCGTCTTTTCTCAAAATCGGAGTCGGCTCGAAAATCAGAACGTTTTCGATGATTTTTTTTCAATATCTCGGGTAAATATCTTCAGATTTTGGAATGTTATACCTTTTTGAATTTGTACAGATCCCTACTATCAATTGGCATTCAAAGAAATTAAAAATCGATGGGTTAAAAAAAGTTGTTGACCAAAAACCGATTCGTTTGTAAAGTCAACCTTATTTGATGATTTTTTGGAATATCTCAGCCAAATAATGCCCGATTTTGGAATTTTATACCATTTTGGACTCGTAAGGATCAGTACTATCGACTGGCATTAAAAAGATGAATATCAAAATTTTGACCCAAATCGACCAAAAAGCAAGGGGTTACATCATGTTTTTTGTCAAAATCGGGGTCGGCTCGAAAATCAGAACTTTTTCGATGATTTTTTTTCAATATCTCGGGTAAATATCTTCAGATTTTGGAATGTTATACCTTTTTGAATTTGTACAGATCCCTAAAGGTGCAAATCAAAATTTTGACCCAAATCGTCAAAACGCTTTGAAACGACATATCTCCAACGTTATATGTCGGTTGGAGATATGTCGCTTTGAAACGACATAATATCGCCAAGATCAGCCTCGGTTGGAGATATGTCGCTTTGAAACGACATAATATCGCCAAGATCAGCCTCGGTTGGAGATATGTCGCTTTGAAACGACATATCTCCAACGTTATATGTCGACATAATATCGCCAAGATCAGCCTCGTTTGTAAAGTACACCTTTTTTGCTGATTTTTTGTAATATCTCGGCCAAAAATTGTCCGATTTTGGAATTTTATACCATTTTGGACTCGTAAGGATCAGTACTATCGATTGGCATCAAAAAGATGAATATCAAAATGTTGACCCAAATCGACCAAAAAGCAAGGGGTTACATCACGTTTTTTCTCAAAATCGGGGTCGGCTCGAAAATCAGAACTTTTTCGATGATTTTTTTTCAATATCTCGGGTAAATATCTTCCGATTTTGGAATGTTATACCTTTTTGAATTTGTACAGATCCCTACTATCAATTAGCATTACAAGGTAAAGTCAACCTTATTTGAGGATTGATTCGATTATTGATGGATACCATGTTGGACAGATCGAAAAAATTGAGTGCACATGTACGGCTTGAATATACATTCATATTAAAATTTGAATTGTTTCTTAGAAATATGTATGAAAAACCAAGGTCTTAACCAAAATCTTGGCTCAAGGATGTAAAAATGGTGACCGAGGCAAATTTTCTTTGCAGCCTTAAATTTCCTTTCACATTTCCATCTGCATAAGCTCTATACTGTTTAAAATAAGAATGCACATTGATCATCTTTATTTATATAGATAGTTTATATTACTTTCTGAGAAACATTTGCAGCTATACGTAATTGTCCAATATCGTGGAAACAATAGAACGTACAATGAAAAGTAAACGAATATAGTTGAAAAACTTTATAGCTTATTTAGATGATAAAATATAGTTGCTCTATATCGAATTGACATTAAATTAGGCAACGATACATAAATACAAAATATGACATGAGGCGGACGATTGTGTCACATCCAACAACTTAGAGAACTATGCAGAGGTTTTGATCGTGTGGAATAATTTGAATGCCACGTAACGGAACTGATCGGAACTTAATGCTCGAGCTTATATGTAAATAATTGTTGATGGCTGTGCGTGTGTGTGCGTGTGTGTGTGTGTGTCAGTGTGTGTGTTCGGTATGTCAGTGTATTAGTGTGTGTGTTCGGATGTATACGGTATACGGCCTTACAACTATACGGAAGGGTACTAAAGGATTTCCGCTAGATTACCGCCTGTTCTCTAGTGTACTGTTAGTTATGGGCAGTTTGGAATACGAAGAGATATATATATCATATATTATATCAGCTACGGCCTAAAAGTAATACCCTATTTAATGAAGTTAAACGGTATTTTATCTCAGGATCCTTGGGATTGGTATGGTGTGCGTCTTGTGTTGTTGTATCTGTGTTTTATCTCATACGCGTTTTATGCTATTTATGCGGAGTAGTTGTAAGTATTCATTTTAGTCGCCCGGAATTGGCGTGCACCGTTTGGGCCATTGGTCTATTGGTCCATTACCTCCTGGCTGGTGTCGTCCACTTCCATGGCGGCCGGCTCATCCTTGGTAGCTTCATCGGTGGCCATATCGCCAGTGGCAACGCCGCTTTCGGCCATAACGACCTCCTCCACGCCTGCAGTGGGCGATACCTGTGCGTCCTCCTCCTCGGCCGGTGTGTCCTCCATGGGCTGATCATTCAGCGTTAATGCGGGCGTGGCTCTGACTGCAAAACTCTCCACTTCGGCTGCCGGCGTGGCAGTTGCATCTGCCGCAGTCGGAGACTGTGGCGTAGCCAACTCATCGGTCTCAATCGGCGATGCAGCTTCAGCTGCATCGGCGGTTTTAGCTAGAGCAGCAGATGCTGTTGCAGTCTTTCTCAGCTCCTCCTTGTCACCCACAGCTGACGCCGTGGCAGCTGTTGCAGCCGGCTCAGCTGCTGCTGCTGCTGCTGTTGCCTCAGTTTCAGTCTTCTCAGTGTTGCTGCCTTCGGCAGCTGCCTTAGGCTCCAGCTGGGTGTCAGTCTTGGCCTCAGCATCAGACGCATTGGCCTCGATTGCCTCATCCTTGTCAGGTGTAGTAGCTTTGTCTACAACAGCTGCCGAGTCGCTGGCTTTTACGGGCGAAGCAGTTTTCGCTGGTTTCTTCGCATTTTCAGCTGCCTTTGGCTTGGGCTTCTCGCTCGTAGGCTCTTTCTTTTCCTTGGCAGCATCGACATCGGCTTCTTCGATCTTCTTCTCTGTTTCTGCCTCTTGCGCAGGCTTGTCTACATTTTCTCCACTCTCCAACTCCTGCTCTTCAACAATTTTCGTTGCTTGTTCTTGCTCATCGACATTGGTCAGCGGATCTTTTTCCTGACTTTCAGCAACTGTATCTTTAACAGCATCTGCAGCGTCGCTGTCCGCCTCGTCGGGCTCTGCCACTGTTGGAATATCGGCGGCGGTCTCTGGTGTCTCTTTCAGCTCTTTGTCACTATTGAATGACTTTTTGGCCTTTGGCTCTGGAACCACCTCCTCCTCCTCTTCATCGGGCTCCTCGATTTCGGGCACCTCACGAACGGCATCAGTCTCTTCGGCCTTTTCATCTGCAGCATCTACAGCATCGGCAGTTTCTGCGTTGGCTTGATTCGCTTTGGACTTGCTCTTGATGACGTCTTCATCCGCATCCTCTGCATTAGCCTCCTCGGGCTGATCACTCTCATCGAAATCAAGCTTGGCCTTCTTGGCCTTCGGCTGAACAGCAACGTCGTCGGTGCGTGGGCAGCTGGCCTTAAGGGCACCGCTGGTATTGTCCTCGGTGCTGCCGTTGCGCTCGTCCCCGTTGTTGAACATGTTCTCGTTCTCCATTTCGATGTCAATGTTAACCTCCAGCGAGAGATCCCCATTGCCCACTGAGTCCAGAGAATCACCGTTCTCACTCTCGGTTCGCTTACGCCCCGGATCGATGGTGCTAACCACTAAACGTCAATGGGAAGGTTAAACTGAGTTAGTCCGGGATAACGCTGTGACCGGAGGACAACTACTTACCCAGTATATTCTTCTCGAGGGCTCGCATGAACTTATCAATACGCGAGTATTGCTTGCGAGGATCAATTAGAAGCTCGCAGAGGCGCTGCACGGTAAAAGGCGCCGCATTAAATAGATCGAGACGCTCCAGCAGCGAGGACTTCATCGTCTCATAATTGAAGGGATCCACATTTGGGTAGTTGGGTATCTCTGCGAGGAAAAGACAACATTCAATTCAAATTGAGGGTAAGGGCGAGCACTCCCTACTTACCCTCCAGTCGCTGAGTATCCTCGTTAAAATGCTTGATCACGTTGAGCAGCTTCTCGCGGAAGAGATACTTGAGGCTGGACCACTTGAAGATGGTGTCGCCTGTTTTGGCCACATACTGCAAATACTCCTCCAGCTCCTGGGGTATCTCCTTCTGTTTAAGCTGTGTGAAACGCTCCAGAATTTGTAGAATCTCCTCGCTATTCTCCATGGTAACCATTGATCCTCGTTCGTAGCTTTAGCGTGAAAGAAACTCTGCAAATTCAGATGCTAAGACAACAAGAAGATTAGCACTTGTGAATAAACAGGCCGGTCAACAAAAAATAATGATAAAAATTCTCTTTGACAAAATTTTTTCGCTGCGTGGTAGACACACAAAACCGAAAGGAAACTACAACTATTGCCGACTTCACTATTTATGTGTATGTGTGTGTGTGAGTAGTGTGTGTGCTTGTGTGTGTGTATGGCAAGTATGCGCCGAATCAGCGACACTGGCGGACAGCAGACGCCCGGAATGAGCGGGTGCCAGTTACGAGCTGCGGCCACGGTTGCCAGACTGGACTTTTTTGATGCATTATGAAAAGATACAAAACCTATTCATGATAAATCCCTATGCACAAATAATATTAATTAAATATCATATTCCTAACAGAGTTAAATATTTGGTATCCAAATCGTTTTTGTCATGTGGCAACCGGGTATAAGTTCGGGTATGCAGCTGAGAAGCTGCGAATCTGCATTGCCGGTTGGCCCAGGCAGGCGCTGGCAGAGAGGGACTGCTGCACAGGCACACACTTACACACAAGCACGGACGCTTGGCAACGACGAGTTAAAACTACAAATTGAGAGCAATTCAAATGAGCGCCGAACGGTGTCTGCAAGTTCATCTGGCGAATGGTGGAGGATTCCTTGCAGATTTGCACAGAAAAACTAGTTATTTCGCCAGCCGATACGATACACACGTATATATGCATGCGAGTATGCATGTGTGTGTGTGTGTGTTCCGACTACGGCTCTCGTGCAAGTAGCAACTTAACCGTTGCAGCTGCAAAAGGCTTACATAGACATCTATACATATGTATATATATATGTATATTTATATACATTTACATGGCCCACACGTACAGACAGACTGCCTTACAAAACTTAGTAAAATGTTGTCTTTGTGCGGTTTTCGGTACTCGCGTAGACATTCCGTTTGTTATATATCGTACGGCAATACATTAGCAACCTTAAGTTATTAATAATTCGTCGTCAATGCACTTATAATTTTACCTGCAATTGCTGCTGCGGCTTCTCGAGCACTATCACAATTATGCTTTGCTCTGGATAGCAGTTAAACGTATTTATTTATTTTGCACCGCCTAAAACCGTGTAAGCCGCAGCTGCACTATCGATAGTGCACACAAAAAACCAACGACCAGTCGATTAGCTTAACATTCGATAAATCGATTACGCTGTTTCGTCTCGATATTGTGCACTGTTGCAAATGACATGCGTCAAATTAGCGGCGGTACCTTAGCGTCGATTATTGGTACTTGGTATCGGAGACGGAATCACTCACTTTGAAATGCATTTATTTATGTTTGTAAGCCTATTTTTAGTTTATTAGCTGTGTATAAATACTGAACTGCACTGTTGCCTTATTAAGCAGCATCATATTTAACCAAAGATAATGTTTCATTGTAAAGTGCCATTTGTTTTAAAGTCCTTATTACTTATGTACAAATAATTTGAATTAAGTTTCGCTACTCTTCGCATCGCTTCGATACTTTCGATAACAGCCGTTCAATTTGTATGCGATTTTTGATTACATTGTGTTGTTTTATGTTTTTGTTGATGCGCACGTAGCGTATACATCGGCATTGAGTCGGCATTTTATTGATTACATATGGGAAATTGGCGCTTGGCACGCAACGCCGGCCCCCAACCCAAGGACAAAAACGACCCCCATATGGACAGGCGACATTAACTTGCTTTTTTTTTTTTTGCTACTTTGTTTTGTTTTGTGTGTTTGACAATTCAAGACCAAAACGACGGTTGAGCCGTTCAAATTGTGTTTGTTTTCAGCTGTCCCGGCCATTCACTCAGCGCCGTGCCTGTGTAGAAGCCGCAGCTTTCGTGTGTGTGACTAACCAAAGTATAGCATTAGCATAATCAATTCAATTCAATTATAATCAAATACCAGCAGTAATTATTATTAGTATTAGCAATATGTCGAGTGCAGTTGATGGCGGGGAAGCCGCCACCGCCGCCGGCCGCTGCGAAACCGATCGCATTTCCGCTCTTGAGCTGCAATCGAATAAAAAGATGCTATACTTCAGCGATGGCGTCATGGAGGAGCTCTCGTCCAGCGATAGCGATATTGAGCCGGACGTGCCCGATAAAGCGTACGATGTCCAATTGCAGGTAAGCCATGCGAAAAATAGTTGACCATAAATTGTTAATCTGTGTATACATTTCCAATTTGTGACTCATTTGGCAGCGCGAATTGCCCCTGGGACCGCGCCTACGTTACAAGGCCACCAAGGTGGGCAACAATATATTGGCCGGCATCGATTACGTTGGCGGCGGCCTGGCCTCATTCCTGGGCATAACAAACTCGAAATATGCCAGCGAACTAAAATACCATCAGCGTGCCAAAGAGCAAGCCGATGCCGAGGCCGCTGCCGACGAGGACCTTGACAATTGGCAAACGCAGGCGAACAACAACAATTCCAGCGATACCGTTGTGGTCTGCGCGCCCGCTCGTCGCGACGAGGAGGCGTTGCCACCCAGTCGAATATAATAATTAATCGAGCAATGAACTCGACTGTAAGAATGCAATAGAAAATGCCATAAATGCTCATCAGGTAAAATTGTAAACATTTTATAGACTACGTACATAAAAATATGTATTAAAAATCAAATCATTTTCGACACTTTATTCGCTATAAATAAGTTACAAAATACAAATTACATATCTATAAACAATTTGTAAGACATTGTTTTATTAGACAAAAAAAAAATAAACAGGGGGGACAGCACAATCAAATTTGGCCAAATATATATTAGAAAAATATACATGTATTATATATTAAGTGTATAGCAATTGTGTATATAGAGCTCTCTTAACAAATATATTTGCATAGGCCACACATACATATATAATTATAAATATGTTAAGTACTTGGAAGTTTCAGTTTTTTTTTTCTTAATATTTTCTTAAGCTAATGGCACATTGAATACAATTACAATTTATAGTTCAAATTCCGTTCTAAGTTAAGTACACTTTCGGTTCGCAAAATGCGTTATTCAATCGAATTGCATGGGGTTTTTGTTGAATTGTTCAAATCTTTCAAAACAAATGAATCACAGTATCACAGTATTTCTTGCTGCGTAAACAAACAAAAATGTAGCAAAAAACAATTCAAATATATATAAATATATATGTATATACATATATAAAATATAAGAAGCCAGATAAAAAAAATTATATGTGGGGCAAGCATTTAATCAATTGTACTTTGGTTACGCCGACAGCAGCGCTAAATAATAATAATAATATAGTAAAATAACTGATTATTACACATGCATAAGAGTGCCATGAAATAGTTTTGATATAAAAAAATATATGCCCAATACAAATGTATGTATATTTTGTTGTGCTTATTTTCACCAAGGTTGCCAGCTGGGTTTTTGTGGTTTTGGCTCAAAATACAATTTTTTATAGTTTATACAAATATTATTGCACTTTTTAAACATCATTTTAATTTGTGTAATTGCACTCATGATAATCAAAACATTGAATAACAAAAAGTGCAATTGTTTCGTGAAATATGTGAAAAACCAAGGACCGTACCGAAACATGGGCTCATGGATGTGAAAACAAGGTTGCCTGAGCCTAACCTTAAACGCAAAGCGTTGATTCGAACCGCGAACCTTGTTTTTCATTTCCATGAAAACAGGTTTTTCGTTTGCAGCCATATTAAGTTCTATACGTGACTTTGAGTGCTTTTAACTTATTTCATGGCACCCCACACGAAACACAACGGAACACAACACAAATGTTAAAACAGTAAGTTAACACACACACACACACAGGCACGCACACGCACACATACATTATTTGAAACTAATATAGTTACAGAAATACGTTTAAGTGGGGTTCCCAAAAGACAGCGCCTGTAAATCATATGCCTAGCAGCGCGCTTTAGTTAAAAAAAAAAAAAACAAACAGAATAAAATCATCATATTAATACTCATATGTACAACGTACATACAGCGATGATATGGGTTTTGGATCTTTGCTAAAAAAAATATCGTAGCAATTAAAGGAGCTTTGCTAAGCTGAGGCGAAATGGATAGCTTAACTTTAGGGGTTTGCCGGGGGTTTGCATAGGACCCATACCTAACCTAAATATGAATAGCATCTGCATAGATCCTTCCGATTTTGAGAAGGGGTACTTTAATAACTAAAATTCGTTTTCTCATAGTTACCCAATACCTTAGGCAAACCTCTTAAACAAAAAGAAGAAGGAATTATGATTTTCAAATTAAATGATGAGTCCCGATATGATGCTGCCGAATAGTGGATAATTCAATTGCAATTTTCTAAACGCATTAAAAGCTAAACTAGGATAGGATCTATATGCTGACCTTGGCAGGAACGTTCTGGTAAACAGCCGCAGCTGTTGGCAATTCATTTCGTGCGGCATCAGACTTGAAGAACTCGTCTCCGTAGAAACCATTTCAACTGGAGGTGAAGAACAAAGGCGAACACAACATTAAAGATAGACCAAGACCATATGGAACAGTTGCAGTTACTCACCCTCACAGCAGCGTCTCGTTGCCATAGCGCTGCAGCTGCAGCGGATAGTGGGAATAGTTGGCATGATGGCCATGATGATGATGCTTCTGTGGCGGTGCATAGTAGAGGCGATGTGTGGAGTGCGCCGTCGGCGTTTGCTGTACGCTGCGGCCCAGCGAATAATTGGACATTTGGTTAAGCGAAATTGAGCCGGCGCCCGTTTGCGTCTTCTGCTTGTAGGGGCTGCTGATGAGCGGCGGTGCGCTGACCAAAGACTGATGCGAAGGACGCACCGAATGATAGGAGACAACAGTGCTGCTGCATGCAATATGCGAGCCACGCGAGCTGCTCTGCCCGTCGAGCGCTGACTGATGATGGTGCTGCTGGGCGTGCGGCTGTTGCAGCTGCAGCTGCAGCTGCTGCTGTTGATGTGGATGTGGATGGAGTGCGCGTTCCACGCCTGTGGCCTGCTTGAGCGGCCGCATAGACAGCTGACGCTTGTACATACTGGATATGCTGGGACCCAGAACCCAGGCGAAACAGCAAATGCCCAGCATAAGCTCCATGAAAGCGCGCGTTAAGTACGGCCAAAGCGGTGTGCTTGTCTCCCGTTGACTTAGCCAGACATCAATGTTGGCAAACTCATAGATGACCGCTAGCAGCAGCAGGGCACAGGCGGCGCCATAGATGAACAAAAAGATGCCAATGCCAGAGCTGTTGTGCACACCCAGCTGCAGTTGCTGTTGCAAGCTTAACGCGTTGCTGTTGCGCAAGATCTCCTTGTTGCGGCAGTGCACCAAATAGCCAGAGATTAGATTCATCGAGCCAAATATCCAATAGCAAAAGACGGGCGTGGCGACCAGCACCTGCAGCGCCTTATCCGATTGATTGCCCACAAAGCAAGCGCCTGCAAAAGTGTCGCAATTAGTTGGAATTCCATGGAAATGCATAAAACACGCAACATACCCAACAGCTCATCCGCATCCACGAGGCGCATTACAATTACCGCAGCCGTTTGAAATGCCGGCAGTCCCCAGGCCACAAAGCAAACAAAATTATTGCGCGCCAAATCCTGCTGGGCGGTGCTGCCGCCATGACGTTTGCCGGGCAGCGCTACGTGACCTTTGGTGTCGGGACTATTGCGGCGTATATCGCGATGCCAGCCCAGGCATAAAATGGCCCACCTGCAACACACACAAACACACACAACGATCATATCATAGCAATAATAACATTGACAACACAGGCAACTATTAACGGGTCATTGCCTCTTTGGAATCAAAAAATTTGTTTGAAAGTGAAGTTGTAGTAAAAACTGTACAGTTAATATCAAGAAGACACTTTTTTTTACCCAGTGGAGCGCATTTGAAAAATATGTTAGCCAGATGAAACAGAAAAAAGTTGTACTTTACAGCTTTGCACCCAATTTTCCCAACTCCATAGTTTTAAATTCTTCTCAATTAACTTTTAACTTTTTTAGAATGAAGTTTTTCGGATATAAATACAATTAAAGCCTTTCAATTTGTTTTGAAAAAGTGCTATTTTCGAGAACTGATCAAATTATGATTTCTTGTTTTAAATATAAAACATAAAATAATTAATTAAACATTTATGTCGTATATAAAGCGTGTTGTCATATTGGTATCATATCCATGTAAACGACACAAAGCTAAATTAGATGTCGGTATTATGTGAACTTATACTAAAGTCCATATTGAGATGTTATCGTTAGCTAATCCTCATGTTTAAAGTTGTTGGGGCACATATCCAGCTGGTAAATATTTGCTGTCTAAGCACAAATTTGTTTTCTTTGAATAAATGGTCGATATTTATTATTTGAGGCAATTTCCTCATGATTCGAATGATAGAAGCAAACATCTCTGAACCCAAAAAGGTATATACATATATTCTTGATCGTACAGATCGGATCGAATCACGAAATCGTATAGTTATTGTTGGTTGAAGCTTAAGTTCTTGTATGGAATATCCGAATATCTAGATAAAATCCAGTAATCCAACCGTAGAATATATGTCTACAAGGGTATTTCGTGCTCGACCCTAAAAGGATCCATATATCTCTTTGACTCTTTGACATAATTCTGAAAAAGTTTCGCTAGAGGGAAGTATGTTTTAGGACTTACCAGGCGCAGGCAGCCATGCCAAAGTAGTAGCGCAATAGGAAGACGCTGGCACAGGCCGCATTGGAGAGGCCATCGACACTCAGCAGAGATTCGTTGGGCGCCTGGGGATCTGTGCCGCAGGCGGTGCCCGTGCGCCCGACAATGAAACGCACCGTCCAACCGATGGTGACCATGTTGTGGCACCAGAGCAGCGGCGACAATAGACGCGACCATTTGGCGCCGGCATTTCGTCCGCGATTATCGCCGCCGAGCAGCACCAGACAGAGAGTGGCCACACAGGCGAGACCCAGGCCGGCATACGCCCAGGTGGATACCCAGATCTCGGACAGATGTTTCTCGCTGGGCGTGAAGAGTATGTCTGCTTCGCAGAGTGGCGCACAGCGTCCGGAACGATGCAGTTTCACATACAAATGGGATTTGGCCAGTGTCGAGCAATCCAGCGGCAGTGGTGCGCCCACCTTAAGGCCGGGCAACTGCTGGCCATAAAGCTCATGGTCCTGCATGGCCAGATGTGTTTCGCCCGGCCCTTCCATGCACATGGTCTCGTGATTGTTCTCGCGCGGAAAACGATCGCAGTCAAGCGCCGGCGGCCAGGGAAAGCCGAAACCCTGCAGCACTGGATGACAGCGTATGCGCACGGATTCGCACAGACTGCGGCAGGGTCCAATCGAATGCACCGGCGCCTTAGGCGTGCACATGGGCACATAGGCGGCGCAAAGGAAAAGCTTTAGCTGTGAGCTGCAATCGTATTCGATGAGCGGCGCAAACGTTTGCAGTGTGTACTCCACATCCGTTTGCAGCTCATGACCGACCAGATTGGGCATCGAGGTTTCATTGTAGCCAATGCCGCGGCACATCTCGATGCGTATCGGTTCGCATTGACGGAAGATGATTTCGGGCGGGGCGTGGCTGCTGCTGCTAATGATGCCGCTGCCAGTGCTGCTGCTGGCACCGCTTGCAGCAGGCGCAAGCAGCAGCAATGTTGCCAGCATCCATTTTGCGTTCATCCTGATTCCAAGTTGTTGCTGCTGTTTTTGTGCTTGTTGTTCAGTTGCTTTGCATAGTGCCCCCCTCCCCGACCCTGTTCGAAGAGAACTGGTTCCACGCGCTCGCGCTCGCACTCGCACTCGTTGTTAATTAAAGCTATCTCTTTTGCGCAGCTCATGCGTCGCAGCCGCTGCCACCGCCCGCCCGCCTATCTGGCCCCTGGACTCCCCTTGTCAACTCGTTAACTACCTTGGCGTCGTTCTTGTTATCGTGCCGTCGCCGTCGCCGTCGACGTCGCTGCTGCAAACTAGTTTGGTGTTCTTGTTCTTTCACAATTGGTATGCAGATTATCTTTTGCCCAATTACAATTTTACACTTCTTTCCTGCTGCCTTTTGCCTGTTGCCTTTTGCTGCTGCACAGTTTTGCACTTGTTTATGATTTTTCCCGTCAATTTGGGGCTTGTTTGTTTACTTAAGGCACAGCACTAGTTAAAAATATCTATATTTATTTATGTTTGCAGTTCGTCACATCGTTTGTGTTTGGCAAAGTTCATTTTCAGCATTCAAATTGCCAGCAGAAATCAAATCTCGAGCTCACTAGTTGAATGTTTACTACTTTAGCTTTTTTCAAACCAAGAAATTGAGACATGTAAATATTGCGTTGAATCGTTTAGTAGAACATCTAGATGTTCTTATCGATAGCAGACGGCTTATGAACTGTGGCGGCACGACGATAACTTTGCTGCTATTGAATATGTTAACAGTGTTGGTTAGCAGCTAACAGCCGATAACATTCACAATTAGCCAACAGCCAAGATGCCGCAAATATGCAATGACGGTAAACGAGAGCCGTTTGTTTTGTGTTTTTATTGAATTTAATAAAATTATTAACTGGTATATATGTAGATAGCAACAAGTAACAGAAATTGCACTTTCATTTTATCAACGCTATACCAAAAACAATTTTTTCTAACGATTCACAACAATATACGTTCAAAATTTTTTACAATTTTTCTGTAACAATACTGTTATTCTGTACACACCACTACAAGAGCGCAATGCATATGTATTGATGTTCAACACACAAGCACGCATACTATTTCTCTCTCTTGCGATTTTGTATTTGCCTAACTCTTCAATACATATGCTCTCTTGCTTGCTTTATGATTGGCCTGATTGCAGTTATGTCTTCAATTATTTGTTTTTGTCCGATATAGGGCTATATATAATGCTCGCCATTGTGTCATGTTGTATTGGGAAGCATTTATCCAGCCACATATCGATTGTGTGCAGACTTTGTTAACCGCTTTATGTATATTTATATGTATATATATATATATATATATATATATATATATTGTATAGGTAGTTATAGATAATTGTTTGTTTTTTTTTTAAGATATTACAAATACTTTACATTATTTAATTAGTGCGAGTAACAATTACAATAAAATCGAGAAAACAAGCACAATCTGCTCAAAATATGAAATAGTTTAGGTATTTTGCGTATGTTCGTATATATAAATATATGTATATAAGTCAGCATATGTATGTATATGAATATGTTTGTAAGTATGCCATGAGGATTGACAACGATTTAACAAAAAGAATATCAGCGATAACAAGGAAAATCTTCGGCCAACCGAAGCATTACGCTGCCCGCATAACTCTCAACAAATTGTGGCACATAAAATGTTTATACTATGTTATATAGGTATGTAAGTAGTAAGTATATATTGACTATTGTTTGTTCTTTGGTTGGTGCGCCTGAATGAGGGTGTGAAGCAGTGTTGCCAACTGCCGTTCAAAAAACTAGGTGAATCCAATGTTAAAAAAAGCTAAAACTAGCTGATTTAGCTTTCAGAGCACAAATTGACAATTAACTGGATTGGCTAAAACTTGTCATTGAGAAGTCACAATAAAAGCTAAATCAATCAAAATTTTCAATTGCTTACGAGACCTCTGAATATTGTCGAATTTCGCTAGAAAATAGCTGAATTGGCAACACTGGTGGATAGGGTTTTCATATTACGTTTACTCATCGTAGTCGGTAATCATGAGGCCCCGTTTGGTGAAGTTTATCGATGAGACCGTTGAGAGATTTGGTGCCGCATCGATGCCATCGAAGAGGTCACTAGTAGCTGAGCTGTTCAGGGAATTAAGCGTTACATTGAATGAGCCGCCAGCGGTATTAAAACGCTCCTGCAGCTCCTGTTGCTGCTTTAGGTTCTCCAATTCATCGCGCAGCGCCTGATTGGTCAGACGCAGACTCTCCGCCTCCTGCAGGCAGTCGCGCAAGCTAAATAATATTAATATAGATACATATGTTTTTTTTTTATATATGGTTTTAAACTTGAAATAAATCGGGGAGCGCTTATAGCCCCGCTCTATCCTATACTTACTGATCAATCTCGTTCTGCATGCTCTTGATGTAGTCGCAGGCCTTGATTAGTATTTGCGATTTGGAGTCGTTGGGTGGTGTGCGTCCATTATTTTGGCTACTTCTAATGGTCGCCTTGCTGTCCAACGTTTCAGCATGGCCAATGACATTGGTCGTGGTCGGTTTATAGCGATTACCTTCCGTGGGCAGCATCTCTTTCAGCTTAAAGATCCAGCAATTGATTTTATCGCGACGTCGACGCTCCACTTCGTTGTGTGTGGCGCGTCGCTTATCATCGCGTTTTTTATACGCATCCAATTTGACATTGTAGCCAGCACAGAGTGGAGGAGCTGCAGCAGTAGCTGTTGCGTTTGGGGCCAAATGGTTGGCAACTGCTGCTGCGGCTAGAGAGGAACTGCTGCTGCTGCTGGGCGAATCCTTGCTGGCAGCAACAACAATATTGTGTGTGCTCGTTGAGCCGCCACCACTAACGAATAGCACGTTTGTGGACGGCGTGGAAATGGAGTCCGGCTCCAGTTTGATGGAAGCCATTGGTTGCTGTGCATGCGTTAGCAGCATTTGATCGTTCGTTTTCGGACCAACACTGGTGGCAATTGTGTGCGTTGTGTCCTTAACTAAATAGATTTCACAACCAGTTGGCAGCTGCAGATTTGTGGGCAACAAGGCATGCAGTGCATCCAGATCTGGCTCCTGCTTAATACTCTCAATGGCATAAAACTCTTGAGATTCATTTGAGTTGTCATCATCGCCGCATATGGTTAAATAGATTTGAGCACCATTATTCATGTCAACGCCGCCCACCGCAACACTACCACTGGTTAGAAACAGCCCGTTCGCCGTAGACGTGCCACAAATACTCCCATTCCCATTTCCATTTCCGTTTCCGTTGCCATATGCGCTGCTCAGCAGCGCGACGTCTGTTGCTGTTGCAGCTGCGGCTGCGGCTGATGTTACTGTTGCAGCTGTGGCTAGCTCCAGACGTGGCCGTTTCTTCACATTCATTGCAGCTGTTTGTTGTTGTGCTTCTTGCCGTTTGTTGCATTAACATAAGATGTCATCTCACTTTGCGTTATGTTTATCTCGTTATACGCTGGCACAATGGGTGGCTCCTTTTTTTTTTTTTTTGTTGTTCACGTAACTTTTTGTAATTTGAGAGGCGTAGCTGGCACTGCTGCTGCTGCTGCTGCTGCTGCTACTACTACTACTAACTACCGTTATGGCGGACTGTTTCAAAACAACTCGTTGGCAATATGTATTGCATTCGTTTGGCCATTTAGTAAGCAGACAGAATACAAACACACATTTGTTGTTAAACAACCAGAATAATTGTCATTGCAACGATATGTGGCTGTTCTTTTTTGCGTCTGGCATCCTTATCTGCAGACTTCAGCTGGCAACCCCACCCGCAACAAAGTGAGTCAAGAATTATCGCATAGTAAGATAACGCCACGAAAGTATATACAATGCAATTGGTATAAGACTATTGTTCTGCGCGTCTACGTCATGTGTCAATGAGGAGGCTAAGTGGATTCTATAACAATATTAATAAAATAAAACTAACTTATTTCGATGGTCATTATTTTTGATTGAAATATGGTCTTGAGCCTATAACGTGCAAATTCTAATTTTGGTTTGAATATCTATTAAATTGTCAGCCCTGACGTCATGCTGTTCTCTTGTAATTGTGTTGACTTATCGAAAGCTGCGCATGGCGAACCTTCTAAAATCGACCATGCTTATACAACAATCTGCTTCGATATACCGATAGGCAATGTTATTTTTTTTTTTTTTGCAATATATATACAGTGAGATATAAAAAAAAAATTCTTTAATTGAAATTGCGTGTTAATATTATAATATTATCAATGGCTATCCCATCAGCACGTGAATCACTTACACTTGCAGTAAATAATCGTTTTCTTCCAAACCTCGAATACTTGCTGCAAGGCTCCATTTTAGACACAGCGGTCGAGCATTTAATGCACAGGTGCGTATTGAAGACCGGCGAAGAAAGATACATAGATTAGATCAATGTCCTTGACAGATTGAAAGGCCTATGCGATAATGTGGACACCTCACCGGAGACATTTCATGACCTAGAGGTGTGCATGAGTCTGCGGCAACCAAATTCACCACAGCCGTTGCTGCTGCGGGTGCGACGCGCGCTCGGACGGGATGCGCCGTTCCAGATGCGATATTTGGGACAGCCCGAGGTGGATATGCGCCGACCCACGCTAGTGCGCAGCTGCATGGATTGCGCCTGTACCAATGGCATTCTCGACTTCCTCTCCGAAATGGGCTTTCGCCTAGAATTCGAGTATATAGCAAAAGGTAAGGTAGCCTGCCTGCATAACCCGAACTTTTGTTCATCAGTTCTTCCATGTTTCAGGCTACATGTTTCGCAAGGGTCGCATGAAGATAACCGTCTCGAAGCTAATCAAAATTGTACCCGGTAAGCAGCAGGACATGGCAAATGAGCCCATCTCGCAGAGCTACATTGTCGAATTGTCGGTTGTGGCGCCCACTGGTCAGGAGAATGTTGGCGAGGAGATGCGTCTGTTTGCGGAACAACTAAAACCTCTGGTACAGCTGGAAAAGATAGATTACAAACGTCTAGGCAATCTACCGTAAATCTATTCAAATGAATCCTCTAGCAATTAAACGTTGCATTTTAATTACATATAATTAAGCACAATTATGTAAAAAATATATATATTTTAGGAAACTTTAATACCTTAAACATGATTGATTTTTCTTTAAGGCAATGCCACAAAAACTTTCCTCGTTAATCTCGGCAATCCGAGATTAAATTGCATCTAGAAGCATTTAGTTGGCCTTGGAAATAACTTTAAAATGTGATAGATTTGATCGAAAAACAACAACAATTTAATTTCAGTTTCTAAAAGCTTACACATAGAGAAATACATTCATTACAATTACGGGAATGCAGACGAAAAAAAAGATATATTTACATTGAGCTAAACCCAAAAACCTGCTACCAGCTGCTTTTCGGCGACAGATGCTAATCCTTGAAGGCTTCGTTGAGTGCCGCCAAGTTGCGATCGGTGATGTGACCCTGCAGCTCGCTGCGACCCATCAGTGAAATGACCATCTTTAGCGTGCTCCAGATGGACTCGGACATCTGATTTTGGCCAAAGGCCTGGGCATTGGGCAGTTCTCTTGCGGCATTTGTGTGTGCCTGCATAGTAAGGGCCGTAATCAGATGTTCGGCAGCCTCCTTGTACGCCTTCAGGTTCATGCAGCAGACGCCGACATTGTAGCGAACGCGTATAAAACCAGGCTGCAGCTGAAGTGCCTGCTGGTACGCTTCGACGGCCTCCACGGAGCGTGAGCCGTTGGCCAAGCTGGCGCCTAGACGATTCCACAGCTTGGCATTTTGCGGATCCACATGCACGGCGGAACGATAGCAGTCGACCGCTTTGTCAAATTCGCCGGATAGATTATAAAGGACACCGAGTGCCTCCTGTAAATCGGCGTCCACTTGGGCGGGTTGCATGCGCACCGCCTCCAAATAGACCTGCTGCAAATCACGCAGCTTGTTGCCGCCAATCAGCGAGGAGGCCAGCGATGTTCCCTCCGATTGCAGCAGGGGATAGGCTGCCAGCAAATGCTTATACTGTGGATGCGCCTCTAACCAGTTGGAGAGCATTTTAACCGCATTGCTCTGCAGACCTTCGTTGGTGTAGCACACGGCTAGGGCCATGAGCACCTGCCGGTTCCCCGGCTGTAGTTCGAGTGCGCGTTTTAGTGCCGCAATGCCTTGTGGATCCATTTCGTTTTCGGCCTGGGAGACGCCCAACAGCTGCCAGATTTCGGCACGTTCCGGCTCCTTTTTAGCAGCCACCTCAAAGCAGAGCACTGCGCTGGGTATGTCGCCCTTGGTCAAGTACTCCTTGCCCTTTTCAAAGGCGTTGTCCAGTTCGGCCATGGGATTTTGTTCAGCAAATTCGTATTCTTTGTAAGCGTCCAGGTTCTCATTGTACTCGGATAGCCAGGGATGCTCGTTCTCCTCGGCCAGTTTCTGCCATTCGTCCTGCAGGCGCTGCCAGAACTTCTCATTGAAATTTGTGGCCGTCTGTTCGTTGTGCTCTTTGTTGCGCTGAAAATCGCTAATCCAATCCTCGACAGACTCGCCGGAATTGGCCACCTTTGGCAAATTGTCGGTTATGATCGTCTCCATGCTCTCATCGAAAAAGGCATCGTGCTGTTGCTGCTGGGGTGCAGCTGTGATAGCCATATATGGCTGTCGCATCATTTGTGGCGGCATAAAGTTTTGACTGGTGATCAGCGGCTCATCGAAGAATTCCTGTGAGTGTTGCATATGTTGGTGCTGCGGCGGCAAGTGCACACTTTTATTGGGCAACTGTTGCTGCATAAAGTCCTGGCTCCATTGGCCGGCTACCTCGTTTTGCTGCGGTGCTCCATGGATGTTGATGCCACGCATCTCCTGCAGCAGTGTGTCCATTTGAAAAGATTGTGGTGGGGCAGCCACTTGGCCAAGAAAATCGTTGACTAGCTGCTCATCTGGACGTAAGCTGCGTTCGAATTGCGACTGGGCGACATCACGGGTGAACTGGCCGCCCAGCTGCATCAACGGATTAACACCTCCACAATCGCCTTCCACAAGTGGTCGTAACGACATCTTGCTACGTAACTGTTACTGGTTTTAATTACTAGAGCAGTAGATTGAGGATGAGGAACTTCGAAGATAAGAATAACGAAACAAAAGTCCAAATGTCCACAATGGGGATGGACGATATATTTGCATTGTCTTAAATATATCGAATGGCTCGACAGCTATCGAGTCTGTGAGTGTTTCGAAGAAGACGAAGCAGAGCTTGTTTGCCGCCAAACTCACTATTCAAACTTCAAAACGAACAAATCATTATTAAAGGCTACGAGCACACGAGAAAGTTATTTAGCTAGGAAACTGCTTGTTATTTCATATATTGTAAATAAATAGAATATTTTGTTGACATTTAACTAACAACTTGTTAATGTCCATATTTATACAAATATTCATATTTATACAAATATTCTTGACTTTGTTTTACCGTGACACTTTGTATCGATAGTAAGATATAAGGGTGAGACTAGCTGCAATCTTAAGAAATTGCCCAATATATGTTTTTTCCAGCTTAAACGGGCCCTTTCGCGACTTGAGCATTTATATCTCTTGTTTTTGCGGACAGAATTTAAAAAGCCCGCGTTCATCTCTAGCACTAACACCTGCGCAACAGCAATTTATCGATAATTATGCGATCGATATTGTTATCTGAATATGCAGAGTCAGCAGTTTTGGCGCAAATATGTTGCAGTTCAATGCCTGCTGCCAATAACAATAAATAATTAAAAGCTTGATCCGGCGATCTAGTCCATTGCACCAATAATGGACTATGATCTATTCCAGTCGGATGACGATGAGGACATTCTAACCGCCTTTTTGCAAGCAACACAAAAGCCACAGGCAGAATCGCTGGCGCCGTTGGATCAGTTATTGAACAGCAATGAGGAGTTCGATCATGAGGACGATGCCTTGGATCTGCTGCCCGAATTTAACTGCACTGGCCGAGATACAATCAAGACACAATCCGACTTGCCCAGCAGTGGATTTGTACGCAATGGCTACGCGTTGAATGCGCAGGTGCCACGCAGCCGGCTGGACAGACTGTGCTTTGACTTCGAGTCGGATCAGCTGAGAGTGTGCGCAGTCTTGCGTTATCTACATGGCGAGGCTTGGTGAGTACCCAGTTGCGTTTGAACATACCACATGCTAATCCCGTTCGATCAGCAAGAATATACAGAAGTTGTGCGGCGCCGTGGCGGGCCAGCAGCAACTGCAATCCAAGTCCTCACTTCATGCTGCCAGTAGCTGGTACACGGTACGCCAGCAGGTCACACATTACTATCATCTGCTGCTACACGACATGGACTCGGCAGAACAGTGGCAGCTGGTATATCCGGCAGTTAGACAGCTGCGCGAGCTGCTCAACAGCTGCCTGGACGCGGCCGCCTGGCGTATCTTGTACTTTGCCGAGCATGGCAAGGGCAACGAGTGCCAGGCGCCTGCTTACCATCTATACCACGGCGCACTCGAGTGGCGTCTGCTGGACTTGTGCTTGCAGCGCAAGTTTGAAGCAAATGCGCTTGATACAGCGGGACAGTCAACATATTTGTCACAATTGGAGCGCACTCTGAATGATCTGGTGCTATGCGCCAGTTATTATCATAAAAGCAAACACAGTGCCGAGCTGCTGCACACTTCGGCTTTTATGTGTCGCTGCAGCAAGGAGCTGTGGCTCTGGCTGTTGCTGCACCAGCAAACGGACACGGATACCGCTTTCTGGCCGCTGTTCCACAGGGCCATGCAGCGCCACAAGGCGCAGCTGCAGCGTAAGTTTCATAGACATCAACTGCAGCAGGAATCTCAATTCATTGTATTCTGTTTTCAGTGGACGCCGCCGGCGCCGCCGTCGCCTACCATGAGTTTTATGCCTGGCTGCGCCTTAGCCTGGCTCGTTTGGGCGCATACGATGCAGCTGGAATCCAGCGCTTACAACCGGCGCCAGTAGCAGCAGGCCAGTTGCAGACGGGCGGCTTACTACGTCAGTTTCTGGCCAGCCAGCCGGATGAGCAGCAGCGACGCGTCTATCTGTGCCTGTTGGCGCCGTTGCAGCTGCATTGGGGCCAACCCGACACGGATGTGCTCTGCCAGCTGTGGGAGTGTCTGCATCGTTCGCTCAACTGTAACTTTAGTGCGGGCACGGCGCAGCTAGAGCAACTGCCGCTGATCTGCGCTAGCGGCGCTGCCTATTTGGAACGCTATCGGACGCTGCTGGGCAAGCCACAGCTGGAGGATCTAAATCTGAGCAGTTTTACGCTGTTCGCGCTGCTGCTGGGCAAAACGCTCCAACAGCTGCCGGCACAGGGCCGTGGCAATCAGGCACAGAAGCTGCTGGGACGCATCTTTAGCAAATTCAGTGCTGCCAAGCTGCTGGCGCTGAATGAGTCCGGCATACACCATGTTATTGAGCTGTTCCTGTGCCTATTGCTGACGTATGACGAGTTTGGTGAGCTGGCGCCCAAGCTGCGCGAAATGCTGCTCTGTCTGGCGCTGGACAAGCTGCCCACGGCGCGTCGCCTGCTGGCAGCCAAAGGTCATATGGCTGTGCTGCTGCTTCATGCGCAACGTCGCCAGCCACTGGACGATTATGTGGCCAAGCTGCTGTCACAGCTGGCAGCCGTGCGCAACGATACGGATGTGGGCGGCATCTATGCGGCCACGCTGGAGCCCATCTTCGAGCTGGCCGATGATTTTGCACGCGGCGAACAGCTGCTGCTGGCGCCCTGGCTTACCCATTACATGGAGCACAGCGCACAGGCGGCACAGGAGCGCGTCTGGCAGGCACTACATTTGCTACTACAAAAACTAAAAGTCCACATGTCGGCCAGCGTGTGGGAGGCACTGCAGCAGCATGTGCTGCCGCAGCTGCGTCTGCAATACGTAAACGGCTTTAGTAGCTGGCTGCCCAAGCTGGCCGCCGACTTCGTGGCACTGGACAAGGACAAAAAGCTGCTCGAGTCTCTGCTGCTGGGCGCCGAGCCGGCAAATACGGCAGCCAGCGCACAGCTGCTGCTTCATGTGCTGCAGGATGTAGAAGCTGTTGGCCAGCAACCGTCCGGTGTGCTCATCCTTCAAGTGTGGATTAAATCCTTGGTGCTGCTCAATGCCCAGCACGATGCGGTGATTGCGTTGACGCCGCTTGTCATCCAACTGGAAGAGTTTCGTGCGCTCGGCCTGGACGCCGAATCGCTGGCCGGCCGGGAGCCACTGTGTGCGTTCTTCGGGGCCTTGGGTCGACGCGCCCAGCAACAGGAGGCCGTGGCCCATGTACGCATGCAGCTCAGCCACAAGCTGCACGCCTATGTGGCGCACTTTGAGCACTGGCTGCCCACGGACCAGCGAGCACGCAGCAAAGCAGAGCCGCAAGGCCGCCAAGAGCGTCCCGAGCTGGGAGCACGCTTCTACAACTTTTTGGCGATTGTTATTTATAATTGCGCAACGCTGTCCTATGTCCGCTCCAAGCCCAGCTGCTTCTTTCACCTGGCCATGGTGCGTTTCCTGCTGACCACACAGCTGCAGGCGGGCGTGCCGCCCGAGGGTCGACTGCCGCAGCTGGTGCACAAGATATTTCCGGTGCTGTTGCAGGGCATTGGCCGGCTGCCGTATCGCACGGATGCGTATCTCAGCCGCACGCTGGAGCAGCTTGTGCTGCACTGGACACCGCATTTCGGCTTCTCTAGCAATGTCAAGCTGGTGGCGCGTCCATATGCAACGCTCCTGCAATCGGATGCGGATGGGGAGTTGGCGCAGTTTGTGCTGCAGCAGTTGGCCAGCCAGTTTCTGGGCGTGCAGCGCAGCCAGGCGGGCACGCATGTTGGCCTAATCTTGACGCTGCTGCAGCAGCTTCTCAGCGGCCTGGACGAGACGATGGAGATGTCACGCGAGCAGCTGCCCAGCCCAGAGGCGCAGCTGTTGACGCTGCTGCGAGCGGTGCATGTGCCGCTGCTTGAGCATGTGATGTTTGTCGGCGAGCTGGAGCCCAGTCGCGTTCAGGTGTTGAGCCTGTATCGCGTGCTCGTTAATTTGCGCCAGTTTCAGCGCTCGACAGCGGCACATGAGCTCTGCTCCGGCGATATACGCAGCCTGGCCGAAAAGCATTTGGCGCACTGCACCTACTTCTACTTTCAGATGCTCATCAAGCTGGCGGAGCAGGCGCCCCAAATGGTGGCGCCCCTCTTTGGCTTTGTGCGCGAGCAGGCGCACAGCGTGGAGCTAAAACGCGGCGCTGGCGAGGATGTGGGCATACGCAAGTGCCTGCAGCGTTTGCAGCAGGTGCTGCAGTCCACCTAGTTAGGTACATATATATTTAAGTTAAGGCTAATAGCTGCAGATCAAGTCAGATCTCTGCATTGTCGAGAAATGTTAATTCATGTTTATTATTCTTATTCTTAGGCTTAAGACAATATTTGTACTTTTTTCATGTTGTTTTAAATCCACTTTTTTTAACATATACCATTTTTAAAATCCCTGTAAAACTGACCGATGTACATTATTAAACTCAAGCTTATATTTACATTAATTATTTTCTTATATATATTGTTTTTTGGCTTTTCAAAGCTTCACTTTATGACACATGTAATCAAATGATATATCTTAAATATATTTCTTCAAATCCGCGTAGGCATTTCGAGACGTGTCTCGAATATAAATTAAAAAAAGCTGCGCGTTTCATTGATTTGGAATATGGCATTAGATGGTTTAGTACCTGGAGGTGGGTACTTATGTTCACGACTATTGCGACATTTGGTCAGCTTCCTTAACATTTTCTAAAAATTGCAATAGCGTACGGGAGAGATGGTGTCGTAGAGAACGCGCGTGGTCGCTGGAAATTGTTCGCATTTCCGACAATAGATATTCGCAAAATGCTGAGTTTGCGTCCGAATTGGAGTTTGCGCCTGCCGCAGTTGGAAAAGCAGCGGCTACAGCTTGCAAGGCGGCAGCTGCCGGTGCTGATAAAGACGCTGATTTACTGGATGACGATCTTGCCGGACTTTGTGAGGCGCCAGTAGGAGAAGGTAATGGGGTTGTCACGCCTGGCGCAATCGCAGCCGATGGTAATGCACCCAGTGAAGTGCTTGCTGTGGTGGACACCAGTGGTATCGTTGTAGTGGACGCTGTGTAGCTAGCATTGCCGCGTGTCCGACGCCTCTTAATCGACGTAGCGACAACCCGTGACGGTCGAGTCTCCGTAAAAGGTTTCGTTTCAGGGCTTGAGGTATGCTCTTTACGCTGCAAGAGAATGTTGGGAGAATTGAGTGCAATGTTAAGCATCAAAAGGCAGATCATTTACCGAAGCATGCGATCGATCCGCGTTATTTTGGTCCAGGAACGACATGAGTTCGAAATAACGCCAGACCACAGTGCTGGTATTAGCCAGGCCCGCGCTTTGCATTTTGCTTAAATTAAGCCTGTAAGTGACGCGAAGCGAGGCCCATTTTGTTTTGGCCTCGTTCACGTCGACGCCGTCTATGGCAAGGGCAGCGATAATGCTGTTCCAGCAGTCTGATCTATTTAATTTTTGCTGCAATGCACCGTCCATCCAGATCGATGGTTGTTGTTTAACAGCTTTGATTAAGCTTATAACCTCGTTCTCTGACCACTCGTGCTGTATTTTCCTTTTCAAATTTTTCTTTTTGACACGCCGCGACTTCTTCGAAATAATGGGCGCCAAATGCTCCATGTCCCTATCGCTCATCGTTCCTAGATTTCGAAGAGACAATTTGGCAACAGACATTTCCGACATATTGTCTATGTTAATTTAGCAGGAAAACAGTTACCAATCCACTTATTTTTTCAACATTAAAATGAAGATATCAAAATTTCAGAGGTTGCCGCATTTATGAAAATCTGCACGATATGTGGCAACCACAATTGCGCGTTTGCCAGCACTCTCAAGTGCATGCAATAATCGACACTAAATTTGACAATCGATAGGCGCAAATGCCGCGTTTCCAGGCAACATGAATGTTGAATGTATGCGCCAATCTCAAATCATACCAATCGCGTCTCTAAAAATTGAGGAATATGCGGGCTCTTTTCTCAACTGTTTTAACTAGAAATTCCACATGGTTACAGTCAATAGATTCGGGTGCTTACATTCTGAAGCTGGTCTTGCGAGAACACAAATAGATCAGTAAAATTCAAAAGAGAAACTTTTGATTCTTCACCAGTTTCTGTCTCGCTCTGATCCGAACTTCAGCACAGTTTGCAAGAGCATTCATTTGAATTTATTTAAATAGATTTGTTTAAAAAAATACTATTCTTTAAAGGACAACACGGTTATATCATTGCTTGAAGATTGCTTGAACATCGATGGCGCTGTGTACCAGCCTATAAAAAGGAATACAAAATTAAAGAAAAAAAATAAAATAAAATACGATTTCCGACTAGAACTAGACAACGTTCTTGGCATCGCGGGGTATACGATGAGTGAGGTATTTGGCTGGCATGAAGCCGGTGTCGCCCAAATATTTGATGGACACGTTGCCAGACGGACTGATTGTCAGCCACGTGATGGACGCATGATTGATGCTGATGCGCAGCCAGGCCTCCGCCGGGAATTGCAGTGCACGGCAGACAAAATAGCGTATTACATTGCCATGACCCACAATTAGCGTATAGCTCTCCTTCTCCTGCTCCGGTAAGGCACGGTGGAAATAGCGTCGGAAGGCGGCCTCGATGCGCGCACCGTCCCGGAAAAACTGCTGCAAATTAAGCCAAATGCGAATGGTTATTAATCTTGTTTCAACAGTTTATCCAATTGACGTCTAACGAAATTTTGGCAATATGTATTTTAGTGCCCCATATGTATCCAGATATTGTTGCTATGCAAACTTTAATATCTCTATAATAGGTCGGGGATTAGCAGATTAGATTAAAAATGCGGCAAAGCGAAGAGTTATATTCGACGCGCTCCAATTCAAAGATTTTAGTTAAAGCTCTGCAAGTGTCGCATAGTTATGAAAGGCACTGTATGTGGCATAGAATATTGTTAATATTATTGCACCACAAGCTGGGCTACTCACCGAGGCTTCCGGCTTCCAGTGTCCCACGGGCGGCTGGGGCGGTATTGGTGCGCCCTCACGCAGATACGAACAATGTTTTAGCTTGGCCTTGTCGTAGTCGATCTGGTTTAGTATTATGTCGGCCGTTTCCTGGGCACGCACCATATTTGAGGCGATCACCTTGTCCCATTTGATGCCCAGTTCACGCAAACGTTGGCCCGTATATTTGGCCTGCAGGCGACCACGATCGGTCAGATGGTGCGTATCATCCGAATCACCAACGTCCAGATATTCACCGTGCCGTATTAGTATGATATGCCGTGCACTCTTCGCCACATGTTTCTCCAGATCGCTGTTATAGCGATTCTGCTCCTGCGGCAAGTCGTTCTTTTGCGGCCGCACCAGACTCTTTGGATCACGAAAATCCCAATTGCTGTCCCACAGCGCACATTCACTAATTGGCCGGTCGCTGTTCGTCCACGAGTTGTGCACAGCCAGTTGTGGATCGCGCAGCTTTTGGAAATAGTAGGCGGCCAGACCGGCACCAGTGCCGCATGCAAATGCTGTAAATTTGCGCATTATTAACGGATTGAAGGCCCCGTTGCAAAAATAATTATGTTGAGGGTCTGTTCGCTATTAACAAACGGCAAAAAGGCGGCACTCAACAGCTGTGCGCGTGTTGTCAGAGCGTTGCCATACAGTCGGCAGATGGGTGTGCGTTTTGCGGTGTGGCAGCGCCACGGAAATTTGAATTTAAAAATGTTTATTTATATAGAGTATTAAACTACTACAACATATTATATAATAACCATGCATTAAGAAGTATGAGTTTTATATAATACTGTGTCTATATGTATAACATTTACTTTATATACTCATATGTTTATGTTTACGTCCATTATTCAATTATAAATAGTTGCTCTCTTGCTTTCTCTCTCTCTCTCTGTCTCTTTCCTTCCTTTTCAGTGTCTTCAGTGCTGTTAACACTAATTATAAGTTAAACTATGCTTTAAACTAGATTACTGCAATTTAAAGCTGCCGCTTTAGTAGTTGCGAGTGCTTTCAAAAAACCTTCTCAAAGTCCTGCTCTGGCTCCTGCTTGCCATTTTAGATACTTTCGGCAGTCGGCAGCTGCTCCACGCTGACCGTGCGCACAAATGTGGCGCTGGCTTCAATAACAATTGTGGGCAATTCACTAACAGGTTGAGTCGATGCAACAGGTGCAACAGGTGTTGCAGCAGCAGCAGCAGCCTCAGCTGGTGCGTCTGCCTCAGCTGTTTGTAATGGAGCAGGCACTGCCTCCGCTTGGGATACACTTGCCGGCTTCATCTGGTCGGTTGTAGCTGCTGGTGTTACTTCTGCCGTGTCGGCTGCTTCCACAGGTGGCTGATCAATGACAACTACAGGCACAGCAGCTGCGACTGGCGTTTCAGTAGCTGCTGCTGCTGCTGCGACTGGAGCTGCAGTAGCTGCCTCGCCAGCGGCAGTTCCAGCAGGCGCTGCTGCTCCCAGTTTGGTCGCTATGGGTGGTAATGCTGTTATTGCGTCCGGATTATCTTGTACGGCTGGCGATGGTGACTTGGACTTTGATTTCGATTTCAATCCTGGTGAAGGTGTGCGCGATTTGGATGCACTTCGCTGCTCCGACTGCACCTTCAGTTTTTGCTCATGAGCACTTTTGTCGAGCAACACGGACGTCGACTGGGGCGCTGGACTGGCGCCACGTTTAATCTCCTCAACCTTGTCATTCAGCTCCCGTCGTATTTCAACAATGGGCCTCAACAGAAAGATGGGCACATCATCGTCGCGACGCTGATACAGCATCTCGCCCTCAAAGTCCAGCAGCTTGTGTTTGCGCGCGCGCAAAAGGATGCCGACAACTTTGTCCGAAATGTAGTTGTAAATCTGAATAGACAAAGAGGCAGGCGTCAGTGAAAGTTCAGCCAGAAATGCGGGGTCATCGACTTACGTTGAACAGCTCGCCAAAGGGTATGACTCGCATGGTTGGCTCATCCTTAACCTGATAGCCCTCGGAGTCAATGATCTGGCACAGCTCCAGCATTTCCTTCATCACATGCATGTTGGCCTTTTGGCCGCGCATCTCTGTCAGGCTGCCGGCCAGCGGCTTGCCATACTGATCCTTGGAGAAAGTTGGCTTCGGCGATGCGGCGCGTCCATCGTGCGAGAAGGGGTTCAATAACTGCGATTGCTTATGCTGTGTCGCCTGATTGTTGAACATGGCCACCTTCGATGACAGCGGCGATTCCTGCAAGTGCAACAAACCGAATGGAAACTCTTTAAATACAAAACGCTGACAACGGGTAAGCAAAAATGATGCACAAACAAATTCAAGCTCAAACTGGCGTTGCCAGATTTGTTAACTGCCGTAAACTTCGATCGCGTTGCCAACTGTTGTTGTTATTTCCCTTTGGGTTGGCGGCACATTTCAAATTTGAATTCAAAATCCTACACGTGGCAAATAATTTAATTAATGAGCTGTAATTAAATAACAGCAGTTTTACATGTTCTTTAATTTTTCATTGCATCAGCAATGAGCGACATGTATGTACATTAAATACTATATTGTATGTACACACACACATACACACACACACACACACACACACACACACACACACATAGAAGCAAATGGTACGAAAGGAATGCGCAAATGTCGGCCCATAAATAAAAACAAACTTTGAAGAAAAATTTCAAAATAAATATCATATAAAGCATATTTACACTTCCTCAAGCCTACACAAAACAAATTAAATTTAAAAAAAAATTAATAAAACCAAATAGAAACTAAATAAAAGCTAAGAGCGGCCTTCGTGGCCAATTTTCGCGAACGTATTCTGTTTGTTTAAAACATTTATTTTGAAAAACTCACAAACTACACAACTTATAAATATATATACATATATATATATATCTTTATCATTATATGTGTGGGTAAATATGTTTTTATGTTCTCTTTTGAATTATGTGCCTTTAATTTTGCTAAGTT